ATCTTCCCAAGTCCTCATTAGGCACCCGGCCAATGGCTCTAGAGACTCGGCAATTGATGGTCTGAGACCTGAGTCGCAATAGGTCGATGGCTTTCCTGCCTGGGCCTAGATCATTTCGCAAGATGGTATTGCTGGCCCGGCTTCCAAAGAAGTTCTCCGCCCCCTTGCCATGCCAGGATGTACTCCACTCTTCCCTCTTCTTCCGCAACAGCGACCTTTTCAATTGAGACAAGGTGTTGTTGTCTACATGGCCTACCCGGAAGTGCCTCGCCATTGCCCCGACTTCGCGACCCCAGAGACCCCCAGAGGCTATAAACCTTACTGCAGGGTCGTCTGAGGCCACGCCCCCGTCTCTCATGGGTAGGCCAATGGCCGCTGTATTGAGCGTCCGAGGTAGGTGGAGCCATTGCCTGGTCCGGTCGCGAAGGGTCCTGTCTAGTGCCCTGAGAAGGTTCATAGAACAGGATCCCTTCACGTACCTATACTGAAGCCTCGGGATAATCTGAGACTTCAGTATCTTGATCTTTTGCAAGGGTTTCAGCGAAGAACCTCCTATTTTCTCCATGATGTTCTGGAGTTTTTGTTTTTCGCCATCGACCCTACTCCCCGGTCTCTCAAGTCCTGAGGGCCCCACTTGGAGCCCTAAGTACCTCACGTACTCATCAGGTTCAATTCTTGGTAGGTATTCGGCCAGACCCGTGGTCGAGTTCAGCATTGTAAAGCATTCCTCGGTCACGACCCTGAGCTTCACACCATACCTACCCCTTGCAGCCCGCTCAAGACCCAGTGTGGCACACTTCGTGGGCTGCGCGGCCAGTCCCCTCGCACCAAGGAACCGGTCGAGCTGATTCAGGCTCCTCTGCATCCCGAGCCTGGACTCAGAGACTATTACCAGGTCGTCCGCGAATCCTGTCACCGCCACCGACGTTACATCGTCCAGGCGGTATCCAACGACAGGACCCAGGGACTCCAGGTACTCATCCACCACGGCACAGAAAAGGAAGGGGGACAATGGACATCCCTGCTTCACTCCTCTGGTCATGGGGATGGGGTCTGACTCCCCGCCGGGAACGCAAATGCTTGTCCCTACGTGGCTGTAAAGATCCTTCACAACATCCAGAAGGTGGTTAGGCGTATCCAAGCGCCGAAGTGCCCTGTCGAGAGAGGTGTGCGACACAGTGTCGAACGCTTTGGCTACGTCGACAAAGGTGATATAGATGTTACGCTTCTCTCTCCGGGCGTGCCTTATCAGTCCCTCTACGAATGCTAAGTTCTCACCGCACCCGTCGACGGACCTAAAGGCCTTCTGGATTATACTTGTGTTCGCACTCTCCACCATCCGGAATGCGAGGATCTTACAGTACGCCCTAAGGATGTGGGACCCGATCGTAATTGGACGCCAATTAGAGGGGGTCCCAAGCGGCGATTTTTTGGGAAGCATGGACATTCTGCTGTTTTTCGTCCATTGAGGAACCCGTGCCAAATACAGCCATGTATTGAATATTCTTAGGAGAACCCTCGGCCCTAGCCTTCGTAGCGCTCCGGTGTCGAGCTCTGGGTTCTCCGGACCTACTGCGGTCTCCGGTCCACGAAGTGCGCCCACCACCTCTTTGCCGGCTATGGGGTCAAGAATTGTCAGCATCCTGTCATTCGTGCGCACCTCAACATGTTCGTAATCCGGGGGCGATTCAGCAGCAAACCTCGGTCGGAATTCCGCTACGAATTCATCGACCGAGGGCCTCTCGCCCCCGAATTCGACATCGTTGATGATCTTATTTGCGATCTCCTTTGGGCTGCGTTTGTAAGCCCTTTGTGTCTGTGCATACTCCATTCTTTTTCTGACTCTCCTGGGTAGATGTCTATAACTGGGCGACACTCTATTTACTCCTTGCCGAGGCGTTCTTCCAGAGAATAGCCTCGGCTTGTGTGCCCGCAATGCAGCCTCCAGCCCATTCAGCGCCATCTCGACGTGGTGTTCCGTCAGGCCATCTGGGGACGGAATGGCCCGCAGCACTGAATTGAGACTGACGACCAATGCGTCACCCTCCTCCTCCTCCTCACTGAGAGCCCTCAGATGCTCCCATAACTTGACCCTCGCCCCCAGCTCCGGGGCGATATCCCGCTCTGGGTCACTCCCGGAGTCATCAGGGTCAGAGGGGTCAGGATCGTTGACCCCCTCGGGTAGCTGATCTTGTATGAGGGCTCTTGTGCCGCCTCCAGCCCCGTTGGTTGATCTGGGGCTGCTTCCAGGGTCTTCTGTTTCCTGGAGGCCACTTCGTACGATGTTCCTGTACTTTTGGGTCTTGCGCATAGCCCTCAAGCGTTCCAGCCGGATTGTCCCCTCCGGGAGGCTTCCAATCAACACTTGGTTGATTTTGGAAACCCCCCTTCCTGACTGGAGGAGTTTCACCTCCTCCTCCGCCACTAGGAGCATTTCCTGTGTGGAGTAGGCAACCCGCCTGGCAGGCTCAAGGGTTTGGTTGTAGGTCCCCTTGTGCATATGACGAGTGTGTTGGGTAAGTCCCACCGGAGTTGGGAATGTCCTTCCACACTCGCCACATGTGTGGTGTTGGGGACCCGCGCAGACCTGCTGCTCCTCTAGGGAGCAGCTTTTGAAGTGGACTGCACAGACTTTAGGGTCGCTAAGTGGCACTTGACATTTGCCGCACCTGATTTGTAGAGTCGCTCGGTGCGAGGACCTGGTGTGGTTTGCGTATGCCCTAGCAGATCTAAAAGGGGCATCGCAAATTCCATAGTTACTCCCGCCGTTTACCCGCGCTTGGTTGAATTTCTTCACTTTGACATTCAGAGCACTGGGCAGAAATCACATTGCGTCAACATCCATCAAAGACCATCGCAATGCTTTGTTTTAATTAGACAGTCGGATTCCCCTGGTCCGTGCCAGTTCTGAGTTGATTGGGGCGCCAGCCGAAGTGGGATTGTAGTGAACCGAACGGCCCCGCCTCCCCGCACCTCTTACTACAAGAGCTTTGGAGGACGGCGAACACTGCCCGAGAACACGCCCACGCAGCCTAGTGCGCTCCACGAAGGGCCGGAGGCATGCGGTCCGAGTTAGAGGCGCTTAGGCCACCGCAGCGTCACGACGAGAGAGGAGCGCACATGTGCGATATCATCCCTCGCCGACGAACCACGGCAGTTTGCCCTAACGTCCCTACCGTCACCTCGCCCAGTCCTGCCGCCCGAACCCAGGCCCGCTTCCGACAGGCCCGACTGGCCCGATCTCAGAGCCAATCCTTATCCCGAAGTTACGGATCTAATTTGCCGACTTCCCACCTACATTAGTCTATCGACCAGAGGTTGCTTACCTTTGGAGACCAGATGCGGTTATGGGTACGCACAGGCCTGAAAAGCAGACGCCGCCGGAAACGAGTTCCACACTGCTGCCTGGGATAACCACCTCGCATTTTTCACGGACCGGCGGTGGCACTCGGAACGCCGCAAGAACCGCGGCGCTCTACGGGCTAACCGTCTACTAACGCCCTCTCTGAATGAGAGATTTTCTAGGCCACGGCGCCTTAAACAGAAAAGAGAACTTTTCCCGACATCAGCCGGTGGACGCGAAGGGTTTCAGTTGCTAGGACCCTTCGCGGGCATGTAGCATTCCCAAAGGGCGCACACACACCCGCTAGGGTTCCAGGCCTGGTTACGGAATAAGTACCGTATTCCCTTTCGCCACTCATCCTTTGGCCTTTCACTTTGTTAGACTGTGTTATATAAGACCGAGGTAGATAGATAGAACCCCTACTTAGTTGTGGTTCTTCTTCTTCTCCTCTGCTCGTGTTGCATTTGCCTCGAGCGTGGATCAGGCCTTAGCCCTGGGCTTAGGAGCGTGTAAAATCAAAAGTGAGGTCCGTGGTTGCAGGGGCACCACGTGTTCCCCCACCGTCCCGGGAGCGGCAATGTTCCGGAGAGGAGACGCCACAATCAAAAGTGGCTCCCTCTGGAGGTGTGTCTCTGGCAGAGGATGGGATCCCTGGCGAACCCCCAGGCCCACTAAGTCCTCGTATAGCCACGGCCGCTGGCAAGTCAGCGGCTGAGGACACAATCACAACAGACAGACCCAGCATATCGGGACCAGGAGCGACACCCAAAACGACAAACATCATCGTGACCATGGAGTATAAAGGTGCGGGGTCCTTTGACAAAATCCGGTGTGGAATTTGCGATGCCCCTTTTAGATCTGCTAAGGCATACGCAAACCACACCAGGTCCTCGCACCGAGCGACTCTACAAATCAGGTGCGGCAAATGTCAAGTGCCACTTAGCGACCCTAAAGTCTGTGCAGTCCACTTCAAAAGCTGCTCCCTAGAGGAGCAGCAGGTCTGCGCGGGTCCCCAACACCACACATGTGGCGAGTGTGGAAGGACATTCCCAACTCCGGTGGGACTTACCCAACACACTCGTCATATGCACAAGGGGACCTACAACCAAACCCTTGAGCCTGCCAGGCGGGTTGCCTACTCCACACAGGAAATGCTCCTAGTGGCGGAGGAGGAGGTGAAACTCCTCCAGTCAGGAAGGGGGGTTTCCAAAATCAACCAAGTGTTGATTGGAAGCCTCCCGGAGGGGACAATCCGGCTGGAACGCTTGAGGGCTATGCGCAAGACCCAAAAGTACAGGAACATCGTACGAAGTGGCCTCCAGGAAACAGAAGACCCTGGAAGCAGCCCCAGATCAACCAACGGGGCTGGAGGCGGCACAAGAGCCCTCATACAAGATCAGCTACCCGAGGGGGTCAACGATCCTGACCCCTCTGACCCTGATGACTCCGGGAGTGACCCAGAGCGGGATATCGCCCCGGAGCTGGGGGCGAGGGTCAAGTTATGGGAGCATCTGAGGGCTCTCAGTGAGGAGGAGGAGGAGGGTGACGCATTGGTCGTCAGTCTCAATTCAGTGCTGCGGGCCATTCCGTCCCCAGATGGCCTGACGGAACACCACGTCGAGATGGCGCTGAATGGGCTGGAGGCTGCATTGCGGGCACACAAGCCGAGGCTATTCTCTGGAAGAACGCCTCGGCAAGGAGTAAATAGAGTGTCGCCCAGTTATAGACATCTACCCAGGAGAGTCAGAAAAAGAATGGAGTATGCACAGACACAAAGGGCTTACAAACGCAGCCCAAAGGAGATCGCAAATAAGATCATCAACGATGTCGAATTCGAGGGCGAGAGGCCCTCGGTCGATGAATTCGTAGCGGAATTCCGACCGAGGTTTGCTGCTGAATCGCCCCCGGATTACGAACATGTTGAGGTGCGCACGAATGACAGGATGCTGACAATTCTTGACCCCATAGCCGGCAAAGAGGTGGTGGGCGCACTTCGTGGACCGGAGACCGCAGTAGGTCCGGAGAACCCAGAGCTCGACACCGGAGCGCTACGAAGGCTAGGGCCGAGGGTTCTCCTAAGAATATTCAATACATGGCTGTATTTGGCACGGGTTCCTCAATGGACGAAAAACAGCAGAACGTCCATGCTTCCCAAAAAATCGCCGCTTGGGACCCCCTCTAATTGGCGTCCAATTACGATCGGGTCCCACATCCTTAGGGCGTACTGTAAGATCCTCGCATTCCGGATGGTGGAGAGTGCGAACACAAGTATAAGCCAGAAGGCCTTTAGGTCCGTCGACGGGTGCGGTGAGAACTTAGCACTCGTAGAGGGACTGATAAGGCACGCCCGGAGAGAGAAGCGTAACATCTATATCACCTTTGTCGACGTAGCCAAAGCGTTCGACACTGTGTCGCACACCTCTCTCGACAGGGCACTTCGGCGCTTGGATACGCCTAACCACCTTCTGGATGTTGTGAAGGATCTTTACAGCCACGTAGGGACAAGCATTTGCGTTCCCGGCGGGGAGTCAGACCCCATCCCCATGACCAGAGGAGTGAAGCAGGGATGTCCATTGTCCCCCTTCCTTTTCTGTGCCGTGGTGGATGAGTACCTGGAGTCCCTGGGTCCTGTCGTTGGATACCGCCTGGACGATGTAACGTCGGTGGCGGTGACAGGATTCGCGGACGACCTGGTAATAGTCTCTGAGTCCAGGCTCGGGATGCAGAGGAGCCTGAATCAGCTCGACCGGTTCCTTGGTGCGAGGGGACTGGCCGCGCAGCCCACGAAGTGTGCCACACTGGGTCTTGAGCGGGCTGCAAGGGGTAGGTATGGTGTGAAGCTCAGGGTCGTGACCGAGGAATGCTTTACAATGCTGAACTCGACCACGGGTCTGGCCGAATACCTACCAAGAATTGAACCTGATGAGTACGTGAGGTACTTAGGGCTCCAAGTGGGGCCCTCAGGACTTGAGAGACCGGGGAGTAGGGTCGATGGCGAAAAACAAAAACTCCAGAACATCATGGAGAAAATAGGAGGTTCTTCGCTGAAACCCTTGCAAAAGATCAAGATACTGAAGTCTCAGATTATCCCGAGGCTTCAGTATAGGTACGTGAAGGGATCCTGTTCTATGAACCTTCTCAGGGCACTAGACAGGACCCTTCGCGACCGGACCAGGCAATGGCTCCACCTACCTCGGACGCTCAATACAGCGGCCATTGGCCTACCCATGAGAGACGGGGGCGTGGCCTCAGACGACCCTGCAGTAAGGTTTATAGCCTCTGGGGGTCTCTGGGGTCGCGAAGTCGGGGCAATGGCGAGGCACTTCCGGGTAGGCCATGTAGACAACAACACCTTGTCTCAATTGAAAAGGTCGCTGTTGCGGAAGAAGAGGGAAGAGTGGAGTACATCCTGGCATGGCAAGGGGGCGGAGAACTTCTTTGGAAGCCGGGCCAGCAATACCATCTTGCGAAATGATCTAGGCCCAGGCAGGAAAGCCATCGACCTATTGCGACTCAGGTCTCAGACCATCAATTGCCGAGTCTCTAGAGCCATTGGCCGGGTGCCTAATGAGGACTTGGGAAGATTGACCTGTCGCCAATGTGGGGAAGGGCAGGAGGATATACTACATCTCTTACAGAGGTGTCCTGCTGCCCAAAACCACAGAGTGACAAGACATGACCGTATCCTCCTTAAGCTAAAACAGTGGCTACAGGGAGAAGGCTTCCATGTACTCTTAGAGCCGCGAGTACAAAGTGGTCACACGTTCGTGAAGCCTGATCTGATCCTGCAGAAAAATGGCCAGTACTCGGTGCTCGACGTCTGTGTGCCCTTCGAAAGCGATATTAACACCCTTCGCTTAGCTGAGCAGCACAAGATCGATAAGTACCGTGCACACGAGGTCGATATCAGGAGGTTCATTGCTAACAACAGCTCGCTGCCTCCGGTAGCTGCAGTGAACTTCCTGGGTGTTGCCTTCGGTGCACGAGGTGGCATAAGACCAGCCACTATCAAGCTGCTCAGCCGGTTGGGCATCAGACGCGCGGGCATCGAGATACTTGTCACAATGGCCATTGAGGGATCTATAAACATCCTTAGATCCCTCAGACTGCAGGCGGACGGCTAGGATGTCGCTCCGCGGCCCGAATGCTGGGGCTGG